AAAAAAAATGATTTTGCTAAATTTCAGCAAATCGCAAAATTGATAGAAAAGAAAGACCATTTGACCAAGAAAGGAATGAAAAAAATTCTTGAATTACGAGAAAAAATGAATAATGGTGGCAAGCATAGATATTCAAGTGCGTTTATTTGAAAAAAACTGGAAAAATCCCCAGAGACTATACGCCAAACGGAAATAGATAATTCCGATGATATAGTCCGAACTTTATAGCGATATAAAGAGACTTTTTAGTCGCATTCGAAAAAGAATGTTAACAATAAATTATAAATTGAACGGTCCAAAGGTAGCGAAATTCCTTGTCAGGTGAAAAGAATTTGCCTGAAAACAGTAGCAATATTGTTTAAGTAAACTGACTAATAACGGTGAACCCTAAGTTTTGGTTTTCTATCAAAATATGGGAATACCGTGGGAACACAATAATTTTGTGACCCGTAACGACTGAAACGAAAGTTGAGAATTTGCGAAAAACGAATTAATACGTCAGCCCTTATTTAGTAAAAGATAATCATGAAATCATTGTCTAATAAACTTAATTTCTAAAATTATTGGATAAGGTGAAGATATAGTCTGAACTAGTAGGAAACTATTAGCGAACACATTTGAAGTTCTGACCCGCATGAAAGGCGTAATGACTGGTGTACTGTCTCAACTATAGGCTCGGTGAAATCTTAGTACCGGTGAAGATGCCGGTTACCCGCAACTAGACGGAAAGACCCCGTGGAGCTTTACTGCAACTTGATATTGACTTTTTTTCTGATATGTGTAGGCTAGGTGGGAGACTGTGAGGCTTGGACGCCAGTTCAAGCGGAGTCAAAAGGTGAAAGACCACTCTTATTAGCAGAAAATTCTAACTTATCGGTTTACAGCCGAAAGGACAGTGTTTGGTGGGTAGTTTGACTGGGGCGGTCGCCTCCTAAAAAGTAACGGAGGTGTTCATAAGGTATCCTCAGTAGGTATAGAAATCCTACGGTGAGCGTAAAGGCAAAAGGATGCTTAACTGTGAGACTAACAAGTCGAACAGATGCGAAAGCAGGACTTAGTGATCCGGCGGTTCTTAGTGGTAAGGCCGTCGCTAAACGGACAAAAGTTACCCCGGGGATAACAGGCTAATACTTCCCAAGAGACCACATCGACGGAAGTGTTTGGCACCTTAAGACATTGGGGTGAAGTTGTAGAAATACAACCGGAGAATTTGACTATATGCTGGGACATCCGTTTCTTAAATGGATTAGAACTAATTGATATTAATTCAGTTAGTGCGGACAATCAGCAGGAAACCAAAGGCAATTTTTTGCCAAGTAGGATCCTCAACGACCATACGTCAAACATCCAAAGTTTATTTTACAATAAACCGGATGAAGAAATGGTCTAATCTTATGAGCAATCATAAGCTAATGAGAACTCATTAGGATTTGTATCTTGAAGTCTATTGTATGGTAAAATTAGTAGGAAGCGAACTAAATATTTATAAGAATAAATTATCTTTGACTAAAGAACAAAGAGAAATAATTATTGGCACTTTATTAGGAGATGCCTCTATGGAATTGAGGAATCAAAAACCCGTTTATTCTCTCAAATTTGAGCAGAAAGTAACACAAAGCGATTATATTAATCACTTACATAGTGTCTTTTCTGAATGAACAGGAATGATTCCACAAGTTAGATTACGTGCCGAAAATGGTAAATTTAAGCAAAGAGAATCAATTTGATTTCGAACTTATCGGCATAGATCATTGAAATTTTATTATGATATCTTTTATTCTGAAGTCGGAGATAAAAAAACAAAAGTCGTTCCCAAGTTAATACATCGTTTTTTAACCGCTAGATCCTTAGCCTATTGGTTTATGGATGATGGCTCTTATCATGTTGATAAATTTGGTAATCGACAATATTATTTAAATACTCAAAGTTTTAGTTCCTACGAACAAAAAAGGTTAGTAGCGGCTCTAAATACAAAATTTTCACTAAAATTCAACGTTCATAAGGACAAAAACAAATATCGTCTTTATTTAAAATTTGAGTCTAAGAAAAAATTTTTAGAGTTGATATCCCCTTTTATTTTACCTTCAATGGATTACAAGTTGAAAGAACAAGTTTAATATTAATACGATGTCGACTCATCGC